TACTACAGTTGTGTGTAGCTATTTTTGCTGCATATACAAGATGATTGATGTCTCTCAATGGAGAGCAAGTATTGGACTATGGAACTACTGTCAAGCTGCCTCCAGAGGAAGTATTGTATTTAAGAAATATTGTAGACCTGCCTCCAGTGGACCAGCTAGTGAATGCTGTCAGTATCAATTGATTAAAGCTACTACTGAAGACAGTGAGTCAGACAGTACTGGATATATACAAAAAGAGAAGAGATGTACACTGCCAGCAGTTCTGTTTATTATTGGTTTTATTGTCATTTACTTTTGTTTCCTTTTATTGAAACACAATTCAATTCCTCCACCAGGTAAATCAATAGCTATACTTCATATGTACATTATACACTGTATGTATCATTAGGTCATTGTTACTGTTATCAAGTACAATATACTACTGGTGATATTGTTACTGATACCCTCCAGTCAGTAGCATTACCTGGAGATATTAACATATTCTCTTTAATTTCTCGTCTCCTCCTCCTCTTATCAGGAGATGTTGAACTCAATCCTGGACCTACTGTTGAAGAAAGTTAGCAATATTTTCTTTCTTTTGTATTTTAAAATGTCATTTTTTATTACAGTTTGCTTGAAAATAAAAGAGATCCTTCGTTCACATTACGCTGTATTAGAAGAAGCAACCAAAGGCAGCCTGAATAGGTTATTGTCACATTTGTATGCTAAAAGAATTATTACGGAATCAGGGAGAGATTCACTTAACTACAGTAAAATGATGAAAGAGTTTAAAGCAAATCTTTCATTATCAAAAGATGAATCAGAATTAAAGGCGCATTGTCAAGTGTTTCTGGAGTGTATATCTCAAGGTGGACCAACTGATGCTGTTGCTAGATCATTAGATAGTGAATGGGGAAAAGTATTTGATATGGAATCATTATTATCAATGCCAGCAGCTGTACCAACTCTTTCAAGTAAGTACTATAATTAAAATACTCATGAACTCATGAAACACTATGTAGGTAATCAGGACCAAACTCAACATGATGATCAAAATGATTATATCAGGCTTCATGATGATATAATTACTATAGCAACAGGCACTGAAAGTGATGATCAAAGTAAGTTAGAATAATTTGATAATTTCTAATTAACATGAACAATAGAGTCAGACACACCTCCTGATGTCAGCAAATATTGCTCAAAACTGGAGGACATTGAGGAAATAATTTTAATGAAAAAATTCTCAAAGCTGACCGGAGAAGAGAAAGAGTTCATAAAAAAAGTCCGTTACATTCTGGTCACTGCCACAACTATAGAATACTGTGCTGTGATGGGTGCAATTGAACCTACTGGAGCTGATGGTAAATATATTAGAGTTATTACAAAAGATAAAGTGGCAAATTTTATCCTGGGGAAATATACATCAATCAATGTTGCAATAACTAGGACAGGCCAGGGGCCAAATGAGACTGAAGATATTCTTGTTTCAGTACAAAAAGATGTGGAGGCTAAGTATGTCATTGCTATTGGGATATGCTATGGAGCAAATGAGAGCAAAACAAAAGAACTTAGTGATAAAACAAACTTAGGTGATATTATCGTTGCCAAAAGTATTGTCGACACTGCACATCAGCGTATTGAAGGAAAAGATACAATCGTTTTACCTACCGAGTACCAATGTGGAAAGAATCTTTTTAAAATGTTCAAACACGACGAAGTCTTTAAAATTGAAGGTAAAGCAGTTAAAGTTCATTATCAAAGTTCTCTGGCCTCTGAATTCACACTGTTTTGTAGCAAAGAAGCAAAGGAAGAGAAAGTAAAATATGTCCAGAAAGCACTTGGAGGAGAAATGGAAGCAAAAGGTATTCATAAGGCTGCTGAGAGTGTAGGATTTGAATGGATCGTAATAAAAGCTATTGTCGACTGGGGAACAGAAGAAAAAGACAAAACATGGCAACCATTTGGAGCTGTCTCATGTGCAAGGTTTGTCCTACAGTGCTTGAATGATCAACAAAGTAAGCTAATTATGGTAAGGGCGATGAACTATGTATAAGTAGTTAAGTACATGTATAAGCTTTGCAAACTAAACTACTTTGATATTGATTTTTGTTAGAGTAAACAATACCTATTATTTACTCTTGTTAGAACTAACATGCTTGTAGGGAATTAAAAAATTTACGGATACATTTTAAAAACAATCATTAGCTGATACATTATGTAGGTAATCAGGACCAAACTCAACATAATGATCAGAATGATTATATCAGGCTTCATGATGAAGAAGAAACTCGTGACTCATTAAAGCAGTTGAATGATAATTTCTCTTTGGTAATGATGGACGTAGAAGAAGCCTTTGATAATGAAATTCAAGATAATCCTAAATTACTCAAAAAGATCACAACATGGCTAAGATACAGAGAAGACTTAAAATATCATGCTGATACTATTGCTACACTAAACAATGTGTCTGCTTTAGGTGATGTACTCACAGCCATACACCCTCTTTTCGACTGTACTGACTGTGCTTTATTAGTTAACATGTGTCAGCAATTTATACCAAATGCTAAAGAAGAAGTTTCAAAGCTTGAATCTCATCATGAAAGAGCTAAAGAATTTTGTCGATCAACCACAGTACAACAACTGAAAGAGGATCTTGAAAAAAAATATTGTCCACATTTAGCAACAGATTTTAAAAACATGCCCAAGATTTTTGTTAAGTTACAAGATAAATGGCTTGATGTCAAAAAAGAAATCCTTCATAGTTTTATTAAAAAGTTGCTGCCATTCAAATCAAGCCAATCATTAATTGATTATATTGATATTATTCCTGGGTCTATTACTATCATTTATCATGTTCAAGATTGTACTGCTGACATGTTAAAGGAACACCTTCAAACAAAACTGCAGTTTATGCGTCTCATTGGTGTATTTAGTTTATACATTAATGATCATCCTGTCCTTCAAGAAGATGAGAATATGAACTTCACCTTTGAACTAGCTCTCCTTGAGGCAGTCACAGCTGGTAATAATGAAGCAGTAGAGTTTCTTCTTCAACTAAAAACTGTTAATATTGATCATACTAATGAAGAAGGCAAGACAGCACTAATGTTAGCTTGTGAAAGAGGACATGAGGACATTGTACACAGTTTACTGTCTGCTGGAGCTAATGTTAACATTCAGGACAATAAAGGATGGACTGCATTAATGAGAGCAAGTAAACATAATCACATTTCAATCATTCACATGCTACTACAAGCTAATGCTAATCCTCACCTAAAAGAATCAAAAGGATCAAATGCTATAATAATTGCTAGTTATCATGGTAACTATGAGGTTGTTGAGCTATTGATTAGTAAAGGAGTTGACTATAAATATCAACGAGAAGATAGAATGAATGCTTTTATGTTTGCTTGTCTGGATGGTCACACTCAAATAGTTGAACTGTTGCTGAAGGAACAAGTTGATCCTAATATTCAAAACAAAGATGGTTGGAATGCTTTTATGATGGCTTGTCAAAATGGTCACATTCAAATAGTTGAACTGTTGCTGAAGGAACAAGTTGATCCTAATGTTCAAAAGGAAGATGGCTGGAATGCTTTTATGTTGGCTTGTGCCAAAGGTCACACTCAAATAGTGGAACTGTTGCTGAAAGAACAAGTTGATCCTAATGTTCAAGACAAAGATGGTTGGAATGCTTTTATGATGGCTTGTCAAATTGGTCACATTCAAATAGTTGAACTGTTGCTGAAGGAACAAGTTGATCCTAATGTTCAAAAAAATGATGGTCGGAATGCTTTAATGCTGGCGTGTCTAAATGGTCACACTCAAATACTTGAACTGTTGCTGAGGAAACAAGTTATTAATGATCTTAATATTTCAAACAAGGATGGCCTTACTTATTTAATGATTACCTGTTTCAAAGAAACAGATAATTCTAAAATAGTTCAATTATTATTAGAAGCTGGTGCTGATCCTAATATACAAGTTCGATCATTAAGTATTCCCTTTCTAAATGGATTCACTGCACTAATGATGGCTAGTGGTCATGGTCACATCCAAACAATTGAATTATTATTAGAAGCTGGTGCTGATCCTAATATACAAGTTCAATCATTAAGTATTCCCTTTCTAAATGGATTTACTGCACTAATAATGGCTAGTGGTCATGGTCACATGCAAGCAGTTCGATTATTATTGAAAGCTGGTGCTGATCCTAATAAGGCTACAGCAACAGCTGTGACACTAGCACAATATGAAATAGTTGATGAACTGATAAAAGCTGGTGTCAGTACTAATATTAGCAGTTTTAATCCTATTATTAACACAACTATTAACTGCACTGTAACTCAATGCTGTGTCATGGCGATAGCAATGAAAAACACTCCTGTCATTAAAATGAATGAAATGATGCAAGACTTAGTACAAACCATAAAATTGCAAGATAGTGCTGTTGGCTCTGTCATGGACATGGGTTTACAACAAATGAGAGCACTAGATGAAACAAAACAAATTAAAACACTCCAGCTCTTACTAGAAGTTACACCACAACCTGAAGATGATCCTTATAGTTTAATAGCAGCAGCTCAAGCAGGTTGTACACCAGCAGTTGAACTGTTACTAAAAGCTGGATATGATCCATTAGCTCTTTGTTCTTCAAGCAAACTTTGCAATGATATATTAAAGAGTACTCCTGTTAGACCTACTGGTGATTGTAACACATTTACAATAGCATGTCAACAGGAACATATTGAAATAGTTAAATTAATGCTACAAAGACCAGTTGATCTCAATGCTACACAAGATAATGTCCTCACACCTTTAATGGCAGCATGTACTGCAAAAGAAGATAATTTAGAAATAGTTCGATTACTATTGAAAGCTGGTGCTGATCCTAATGTTAAATTTCAATCATCAGAGAAATCACGGAGGAGCGGGGACACTGCATTGACAATGGCTATAGTTTGTAATAAAACAAAGGAACTGATTCAATTATTATTAGAAAAAGGTGCAGATCTAAATGTACAATCAGAATCAGACAATCCATTGTTGAATGGATGGGCTCCATTAATGGTTGCCAGTAGTCATGATAATTTAGAAATAGTTCAGTTACTGTTAAAAGCTGGTGCTGATCCTAATATTAAAAGTAAAAATGGAAGTACAGCCTTAGCATGTGCAGTGTGTTCAGGTCAAAAAACAATTGTACAAGAATTGCTGAAATTTGGTGATGCTACTACTAATAGTATCAGGATTGAGTTAAATGAGGCTGGGGCATCACTTGAAATGTCAATAATTCATTTGTGTGTAAGCAAATTAATGCAGGAAAGCCAATTTTCTAACTATAAAGATTCACAGCCTACATTAACAAATTTTTTTGCAAGTAAACTTGAAATTACGACTGATCAGTTTGTTGAAAGAGTGAAGGAATTTATTTCAAAAACTACTTTAGATGATATAATCGAGATACTCCACCTGCTACTAGAGGCTACTCCACAACCTGAGGATGATCCTGCCAGTCTAATAATGGCATCTACCATTGGTAATGTACAAGCAGTAGATTTGTTACTTAAAGCTGGTTATAATCCTAAGGCACCTTTATCATCAAGCAAATATTTTCTAGCAATACTTTCAATTATTATGGAACATGCACCTCTACCAAAAGAAATGTTAGAAATCTCTTGCCCATCATTAGTTGTTGCATGCATTGAAGGGCATTTAGAAGTAGTTAAGTCACTATTGAAAGAGATTAATGATCCAAACCATCAACAAGAAACTGGAGAAACTTTCTTAATGTTAGCATGTGAATGTGGTCACAAGGATATTGTACTAACACTACTAGAGAATGGAGCAGATCCTAATATTTGTGATAATGATGGAGACAATGCACTACATTGTGTATTATATTTTAGCAGTAGTGAGGATAATAATATAGATAATATCATACAAACACTGCTGTCATGGAATATAAATGTTAATGCACAGAATAATAATGGAGTTACTCCATTAATGATTGCCAGTGCCAAAGGATATACTGTAGTATTGTTATTGCTATTAGATAAAGCTGATCTTAGTATCAGTGACAGTAAAGGTAGGACTGCACTGATGCATGCTAGTTCTAATGGGCAGAGTGAAGCAGTTGAACATCTACTAATGATATATATTGCTGATCCATCAGTTACTGATAGTTATGGATCAACTGCTCTCTGTCATGCTGCATATGGTGGATATGCTGAAGCAATTAATGTACTTTTTAACAATTATAATCCTAATCAAGAAGAAATAGAGAAGGCATTTACTGCAGCTTGTTATGGTGGACATAAGGACACGATTGAGTTTCTAGCAGACAAAATAAACCTCACAAAACATCAAAGTAACTTACTGACTGCTTGTATGTCTGATGATGTGGAATTTTTGAACAATCAAACAACAAGTGACCTATGTACACCATTGATAGAATCTACTGGTCTAACTCCTCTTATGATAGCTGCTTCCTGTGGCAGTGATGGAGTAGTACGAGCATTACTACTGGTATATGGAGCTGATGTTAACCAACAAGATAATTATTTAAAGCATTCTCCTCTGATGTATGCAATATCTGGTAGTAGGTCTATTTCTATTGCTCAGCATTTATTAGACAGTGGTGCTAATGTCAATGCTATTAGTAAAGATGAGAAGACACCATTGGGTATCGCAAGAGACAAAGAATTAAATGAAATTGCTCAAATATTAGAAAATTATGGTGGGGTAATATATCCTTCAGTCACAGTTGAAAAGGTTGAACAATTAAGTACAAGGCAAAAAGCTGAACTTCTACTAGGATTGTTAATGACATTCTCTCAATTGCATACACTTCCTACTACTGCCAGTATGAGAGAATCATTCCAGGTACCATCATTTACAAGTGTACCAATCCTCTCTACCATAATGGTATAGTGCTACATTCCACAATACACATCTTGCTCCTTCTCTCTCAAATTTGTGTTTTCCTGTTCTTATTCTTCCTTTTAATCTCCTCTCCCTCTCTCCATTAACATTGCTACATATATAGTTAGTTTAAAGATGATATTTTGCTGTATGCTTTAAAGAGTGTTATAAATTTGTCACACTTTATTTCTATTAGCATTTTCCTTAGTTTTTTTTTTATTAGTAGTTTTTATTAGCGTTTTTATTAGTTTTTTCTTAAATAATTTTTGCTGCTGTTTCTTTGTATTTTTACAATTATAATAAAATTTTTAAAAGTCACACATTTAAATAATTATATGNCAGTTGGTGATATGNTACACATGGTTATCAAAATGAAACCCTGTATAGACACTGAGAATATTAAATATAGCAACAAATCTACTCTTGATCTACCTTGGTACTATGATTATCATATTGATCAAGACACAAGGAGAAACGATATTTCCAATGATCAATGATTAATGAACAATGATCATACAGTACATGTACTGTATGATCATTGTTCAGCTATAGAGCCTCTTTACTAAGAACTGAGTATGCAAGCAAACACAATCATTACTATCTCTCTCTCTCTTCCATCATACACACACACATATACATGTACATTAATTTCACAAGAAACAGAGAGAGGAGAGAGGTAAATTAAAGAGATATACACTAATAAGTGGAAGGAATATAGAAACTGAATGTGATATACAAACTCATTCCTTTCCCTCTAATGTACCTCATTGAATAAAATCTTATGTACACATTCAATACAGTGACCTTATTAAAAATAAATGTGAAATATTTAACAGGTTGTAAATAATTTAAGGAGAGAGAATGAGAATTAAGATGAGGTGAAGTAACAATTTATAATAATAATATAACTCCTCATATAAATTCTTCATAGTCCCACCTCATCTTTATTAATAACCCAGTGATCATCAGTAAGTGCTTGTTGCTGGTACCTACGAACTGCCTCTTGAGACTGATGTAGCTCCCTATCCTTCTCCTGTAATCCAGTTTGAGCTTTAAGCTATGGGGAGGAAAAAACAAGTAAGAGTGTATCGGGAAATGCAATTAAAATTTGGGGTGATTTCGGAGCCATTCTTTGAAAAAAACCATGGGTTATAATAGCCTTGAATATTTTTCAAAAATTGGTCATTATTTTAAATGGCTGTAACTTGAAAAATTTAAGTCAGAATCACTTCAAACTTTTTACATGTACAGCATTAGGACATCTATGTGTATCAAAAAATTTAACAAAAATTTGGGGTGATTTCGGAGCCATTTTTTGGAAAAAACCATGGGCTATAGCCTTGGGTATTTTTCAGACTTTGGCCGTTTTCTAAAAATGGCTGTATCTTGAAAAATCGAAGTCGGGATCAGCTCAAACTTTCTACACAGCATAAGGACACCAATATGTATCAGAAAACGTAATAAAAATTTGGGGTGATTTCAGAGCCATTTTTTGGGAAAAACCATGGGCTATAGCCTTGGGTATTTTTCAGATTTTGGCTGTTTTTTAAAAATGGCTGTATCTTGAAAAATCGAAGTCGGAATCAGCTCAAACTTTCTACACAGGATAAGAGCATCAATATGTATCAGAAAACGTAATAAAAATTTGGAGTGATTTCGGAGCCATTTTTTGGGAAAAACCATGGGCTATAGCCTTGGGTATTTTTCAGATTTTGGCTGTTTTTTAAAAATGGCTGTATCTTGAAAAATCGAAGTCGGAATCAGCTCAAACTTTCTACACAGGATAAGAGCATCAATATGTATCAGAAAACGTAATAAAAATTTGGGATGATTTCAGAGCCATTTTTGGGAAAAACCATGGGCTATAGCCTTGGGTATTTTTAAGAAGTTGGCCAATTTTTTTAAATGGTCGTAACTTTAAAAATTGAAGTCAAAATCAGCTCAAACTTTCTACACAGCATGAAGGCATCAATATGTATCAGAAAATGTAATAAAAATTTGGGGTGATTTCAGAGCCATTTTTTTGGAAAAACCGATGGACAGGGATTTTTTTAATTAGCCAATTTCTAAAAATGGCTGTAATTTTAAAAATTGAAGTCAGAATCACCTCAAACTTTCTACCAGTCATAAGTACATCAGTACATTATTATAT